GGAAAGGGCTTGCCACAGGAGCTTAAAGACCTGAATTTTCATGGTGGTGCATACCTCTAATCCCAGCACTCCAGAGACAGAAGGGAGGCAGAGGCAAGTGGGTGTGAGTGCAAGGCCAGCTGTTCTCTTCTGTTATTAAGACAAAAAGAACATCTCTACTTCTAATGAACTCAATTCCAATACAAAACACAAAGACCAGTTTTTTCACCTTCAGCAAAGCTAAATAAAACCTCAATTTGAGGGGATGGAGAGATGGCTCAGTGGTTAAGAACACTGGCTATTATTGCAGAAGACCCAGGTTCAAATCCCAACATCCACATGGTGGCTAATGATGGCCCAAAACTCCAGTTCCAGGGGACCCAGTGCCTTCCTCTGTCCTCCATGGGCACTGCACTCACACGTGTGCAGGCATAACACTCATACACTTAAAGTTAGTCAATGAAAAAAAAAACCCACCTGGGCATGGTGGTGCACACCTTTAATCCCAGAACTCCAGAGACAGAAGCAGGGAGATCTCTCGGTTCAAGGCCAGCCTGGTCTACATATCCAGTTCCAGGCCAGACTGAGCTACAGGGAGACCCTGTCTCAAAAAGACCAAAAAAATTTTTTGAGGCTAAGGAAATGGCTCACTTGTAAAGTGCTCATCACATAATTATAAAGACAAGAAACCAGATTCCCAGGACTAAGTACAAAGCTGGTCACAGAGCACATGCCTCCAGCCCCAGTTGTGAGGAGGTGGAGTCTACAGGAAGCCTAGAGCACCCTGGGATGCTAGTCTAAGGGAACTGGTGAACTCTTTGTTCAGTGAGAGAGCCTGTCTCCATAAAGAAGGTGGAGGGGGGGCATCAAGATGGCTCAGCGGGTAAAAGCACTTGCCTGGCATACCTGACAAATTCAGTATAATCCACAAAAAGGTGGAAGAGAGAAGAACTGACTCCACAAAGTTCTCCTCAGGCCTCCACACATGCATCATGGCAAATGTGAGCCCCTCCACAAACACACACCATATGCACACACATACGTAACAATTATAAATAAAATTTCTAATTTCAAAAATTAAGGAGGAAAGTGACAAATGGAATCATTCAATGTCGACCTCTGGCCTCCAAAACCACGTGGAGACCCTCAAACACGCCTGCATTCAGATGAACACATACACACAATCTCAATTCATTGAACTTTGAGAATCTGCTTGTGTTGAAGTCTCACCCTGGAAAGAACACACCATTCTCAGGAAGCTCTTCAAGTTCCCTCCCACTCCAACAAACAGCAGAGTCCTCATAGACCACAAAGAGTTCACCTGGTAGTGAGAAAATGAAGCAGCCTTGGCGTCACAACAATATCACCCAGAGTCTGAACCCTTCTTTGCACTGGTTTTGGTTCCCCCACTGCTTTCCTATCTCAACTCACTCCTTTGAGGGAATGACTCCTTTTCTGCTCAGATGTGGACACATGCCAGAACTTCCCAGGTCTCCTCTTCCCCTGGGGAAATCACTGCTCTATAGGCTAACTTGACTTACACATGCATCATGGCCTTCTTCACATCCAACATCCAAGTTTCCCTTAATAATCAGTAAGCCCTTTATAAGGTCTCACCTAAGAGCTCTGCTCACCTGACACCATTCCTATGGTACAGTGGGCATCGTGTGCATGTGGGCACAGGAGTGGGTGGGCATCGACTGGCATCTTATGCTTATCCAACCTTAACAGAGAGTTAGCCATAGAAGTATAACATACCTCAGGGACCCAAAAGTCCCTTAAAGATCAAGTTCATCCTGTTGCTGAAGGACTCAAAACCCACTGTGTAACAACCAACAGATGGTAAAGCAACAGTGGTCAGTCAGGGAAAGGACAGCTGACACACTTCCCTTCAGGAATGCCACTTAGAGGAAAAAAGGCTTTGGGACTATGATTGGATCTAGAGGTCTGGGGAAGAACATTAGAGAGAAAAATGGTACAATATAAGGGAGAGACCAAACATGATGGGAGCCTTAAGAAGGAAAGGCTTCCCTTTAAAACCTGGAGAGGGGACTGGGACTCAGTGGTCACCAGTGTGTACATACAGATGACCTGAGTTTGATTCCCACCAGCCAAATGAGGCCACTCACAATATATAATTCCAGCTCCCAGAGGAGGGGAGAGGAGGAGAGTGGAGTGGAGAAGACTGGAGGGGGGGTGTGCGGGGGGCAGGAGGGGAGGTAAGGGAAGGAGAGAAGGGAGAATGAAATGTGTGCTGGCGGGAGGCCAGAGGAGCCTCTTCAAGGAAAGAGCACACAGCAATTCACAGAAAAGTCGGAAGAATAAAGAAAATACCAGACATTTAAGTTTCTCTTCACCTGATTTAGTTCAACGGGAGCCAGGTTCCATAATTCAAGGGCTGTCAAGTTACAGCACAGATTGCTTAACTGTCCAGAGAGAGCAGCAGGGAGCTGCAGCAGTCAAGGTTTACTTCAGCAGGAGAGAAAGCAAACGTGGAAAGAAAGGACGCACTGCGGAGTGGAGGGCGCACAGAGCCGAGGGGGCTGCGAGGGGCTTCCTCTACTGTGCGGACTGTGAGTCCTGGGCCACATCTCTCCTCCCCTGCCCACCCCTGGGTCCAGTGGTCCCTTCCTGGAGTAGTCAGAGGACTATTTTGAAAACCTTTTTACCCAAAATTCACTGTTAAATTACAAGCAAGGGTATGAAGAGCGCTGTCAATGTCCATATTAGATAAACTCGCTGGGGAAACGGAAAAGGTGTCTGCCAGTGTTCCTCAGGGAGGAGCTTCATAGGGATCACAGAACCTGCCCAACTGGCTGCCGTCTTCCCACCCCGTCCTTCCTCTTCCCCACACAGCTTGCCCATCTCCTACCCGGCTGCACGCCCTCTTCCTGTCCTTCCCCAGTGTCCCAACCTTGACCTGCAGACTCCAGTGTTCATTTCTAACACTCGTCCACACAGCACAACAGCACGATCCCGCCCTCTGCACAGTCCCGACACTGAAGCTGCCGCAGCAGGAAACGCCACAGGCGGCCGCGCCGGGAACCTGGTCTCCGGGACCGCACAGGACGCGGTCCGGCTGCCGCCAGCCCGGGGAGGACCCAGAACAGCCCGCTCTGGCGGCTCCAACGGCCGTTGCTCCCGTCTGCACACGGCCGGCCCCGCGCTCACCATGGCCCGGCTTCCGGCTTCACCCGCGCTCCCCTCCGCTCCACCACGCAGGAAGCTCACGGCGCAGCACTCTCGGCGCATACGGCAGCCGTGGACCGGAATTCGTAGCCTAGGACCCGCTACAAGGCGGCCTCATTGAGAGTCGGTGTTCCTGATTGGGCAACACAGCCGGAAGCGCTGATTGGCTCTGTTGACTCCTGATGCCTAAATGACAGGAGGGGCTAAAAAGATGGAGAAGTGCCTCCGTTTCTAGCTGTGGCTTCCTATCCACGAACAGACTTTGCCAATTTCCTAGAAGATTGGCATCCAAGCAGAATATGCTTGTCGTGCCAGAGCAAGTGTTGATGTCAAAAAATCACTAGGCACTTCCTGTTCTTCCTCCCAGGCACAGGGTCACTCATATACACATTCAGTGTCCTGTTACTGTCCTCTTGCCTCAGATGTAGAAAGGCATCCACCCCACCGTTCATTACTGTTGAACCTAGAGTCTGATGTCTTCCAGGGATTTGGATTGTCCACTCAGGCACCTTAAGGATTGTGTTAGAACCCAGGCCTGATCTTTAAGAAGCTGGTCTGTCTCAGAGGCCAGATCTCACAGCCTGAGGAAATCAGGGCACTCTGCCCTCACAACTCCACTCCTTGAGCTCTTTTCTTGAGACACTGTTAAGAAGCTGTCTGTGCTGTGGTTTCATAACTTCTAATTTATGATGAAATGACCAATCTGACTCTATTTTGTGTACCCACCTTTTTCTCCCCTCTACCCATGCAGGTCCCATGAACACTGAACCTGCTACAGTATCAGGGAGTACTTTGTTTCTACAAAACTGAAAAACTTATATTCAGCCAGACAGAACAACATGGCAGTGCAAGGGAGCCATTGTTTCTGAGAAACTTGATTTTTTTTAAGCTTTTTATTTATTTTCATTTTGTGTGAATGAGTTTATTTCCTGCTTGTATGTAAGTTGACCGGAGTTTTGCAGTGCCTGCAGAGGTCAGAAGTGGGTATCAGATCCCCTGGAACTGGAGCTATGGATGCTGGGAACCCAGGTATTCCTGAAGAACAGCCAGCTGCTCTTAACCACTGAGCCGTCTCTCCAGTCCTGAAAGTTGTTCTTTGTAACTGAAACTTAGAACTTTTTTTGTGAACTGAAACCTTCCTTGTTAAAGTGACCTGCCACTGTTACTCTGTAACCATGGGACCTACCTCTGTTATGGTACAATCATGATTACTGCCTTTGCCCTGACATGATGTAATTGTGGCTTTAAGCTTTATAAACCCTGCTCTGCCTCTTCTCAGGATCAACAGTTCTTTTGGGTTTGAGCCTGCTCTGCCCTAACTCTTAATTTGACCATCATTATTGGCATTCCTCTGTGCCTCCCTCAGGATACAGCAGTGGTCCTCCTCAGTACCTGGCTCCTCCATTCCCCTCATCACATAGGCTATACCAGACTGGATCACATGGTATGGAATTTCCTGCTACGGCCTGAAAGTTTCTTTTGTTTGGGGACTTTCTCTGACCAATCTTTTATGGACCACCACTCTACACACCTCTCTTCTTTAGGAAATTTCCCTTAGGTTAAGTTATCCCTCTTAATGAAGCTCCTTCCCATGAAAATTAGTAACAAAAAATATTTATATCCTTGTGTTGGAGGCATTTGGATAAATTCTGTCAGGTTTAAATGTTCCATGCAGTAGAGGGCAGTGTCCTTGTGTCACATGAAGTAGTTTATTAGGGTTGTGTTTAGGGCAGATGGAACATCTTGAATATACTTTGTGAGCTATTGTTGTGGAGGGTTTCAAACAATATTTTCTATCCAGAGAGATTTTTTTCAGATGCCCAATGAGTAAAATTATGTATATATTCCAGGAGAAGGGAAGGTTATAGTTTGGGTGCCCTGGGGCAGGGGCTTGGTGTAAAGCTGTCCTTAGCGTAATAATTGCTGTCTCTTCCTCCGGGCCTAGTTGTACAATATCTGGTTGTCCTGTTTAGGTTTCTTATAGTGGCTGGGAAATTCATGAATAGTTTGGAATTTAATTTTGATGATAATCAGCCAATGCTAAGACTCCTCTCAATTGTTTTTTGTCTTGGGGGTAGGAATCTTCATAATAGCAGAGTACGGTCAGAATTTATGTGCCATCCTGAGGGAGTCACTATCTGACCCAGGTTTTTAACTTCTTGCTGATAAAGTAGACATAGCTAGAGAAGGGCTGATGGGAGCACACGGTTGAGAGAAGTTCATTTGTCTTTAGTCGACACAGTCTCTAAGATGTTCTTATTAATCTCCTGTCCTTCAATATCTTTCTTTAATTCTGTTGGTGTTTCTGAAAGTCTCTTATTCATTTCCTGTCAGTTAGCAATTTTATCATTTCTTTATTTAGATGCTTCTAAAATTCCACTTAAAATAGGCTGCCCATTCTTCATCTTCTGTTCTATTGCCTAAGACTTCTAGTTTTTCATGTAAAAATACCAATTTTGGTTGGAGCATCAGAGTTTCCCCATTGAGGGACTCTTAAAGCTATGTTATCTTTGGTCAGAGATCCCATTTTCCCAAATACTTTCAAGTTGAAAGTCCATAATTATCATACAGAAATCCAGCTGGAGTGTGAGATGACGGTTTATCTTTAAACACTTCCCCCTTTTGGGAAACTTTCCCATTCTTTTCTTTCCTCTGAAAAATTGCAAGTCTTTCTATACTAGATGGGGAATATGTATTTTGGTTCAGTTTAGGTGCTGCTTTTGTGATGGACTGTCTCAGCTTTCACCCTGAGACCATCTTTTCCCACTGGGTCTCAGGGTTATCCTCTGTGTAGAACGTGAGGGAGCTCAAGACATTGGGAGATCAAGCCCTTATGTGTATTTTTCCTGGCTGAGCCAGTCATGTTCCCTCTGATGTAGGAATGGAGAATGTTTACTGGGTTTTCCTATGAAGCTGGCACACATCATGGGGAGTTCCCCAACACCTTCACACTGTTACATTGGAGGGAAGAGTGCCTCTTATCTTTACCATCTTTATGATCTGGTGCTCACAAAATTCCTAAGCTAAAATGTAGCAAGGTTGAAATAAACAGAAAAAGCCACAGATAAAAAGCAGATTTAGGAATTGGAGAAGTGTCTGGGGACAAAGGCCAACAAAAACATCATAAACAAACAACACCAGGACAGATGAAACAAAATCCGAAATGTCTTCAAAAGGTCTAGACTCCAGCTATGCTAAAAACAAACCAATTAGAAATAAAATGCTTCTTGGAGTTGGGAGATAACTGAGCGGTTAAGAGGTTAAGGCTGTTCTTGCAGAGGACCTGGATTGGATTCTCAGCACTCATATGGCAGTTAACAACCATCTACAACCCCAATTCCAGGTGTTCTGATGGCCATCTCTGACCTCCTCAGGTATTGCATGACATAAGTGCCCTTACATACATGCAGGGAATACACTCATACACATAAAATAAAAACTAATAAAATATTTTTTGGTCTTTTTGAGACAGGGTCTCCTTGTAGCCTCAGCTAGCCTGGAACTCACTGTGTAGACCAGTGAGTTCTGTGTAGACTCACTGTGTATGCCACCACTCCCTGCATAAAATAGTTGTTTTAAAAAAGGTGGTGCATGCCTTTAATCCCAGAACTTGGGAAGAAGAGGCAAGTGGATCTCTGCGAGTTCAAGGCCAGCCTGGTCTACAATGCAAGTTCAAGAACAGCTGGGTCTACAGGGAAACCCTGTGTCAAAAATACCAAAAAAAAAGTGCTTCTGGAGCAAACAAAAATGAACTCTTTAAAGCAAGCACTGAGAGAAAGCAGGCAAGGAAAAAAAATATCTAAATAAATATAAATAAGATCCTGAAAATCAGCTCAGAATAAACCACTGGACTATTGACTAATCCAAGGAAGTCTGGACTCCAAGAAAGAAATCACCAGTTGTTACTCTAGGAGAAAATATCAGATTGTGAGCTGGAAGGAGGCCTGCCTGGAACCTGGGACCAATACAGTTCTTTCCTTAAGTGAATAGTCGATCTTTTGGGGCCCCACATCACACACCAAGAACTGATGATGAAATAAACAGCTCTCACCACAAAGGAATAACAGACATGGTTTATTTTGGATTCAAGTATGAGTGACCATGGCCCGGGAACACAGATTTAGTTCTTCCCAAATACCATGTTCCAATATGGTAACAGTTTTAGGAAATTTTTATAGCAATAGAACAAAGAAAAGTCATAAATCAAGACACTTGTCACATGCATGGATAGGTACAATCACTAGGCAGGTCATGGAAAGGGGAGGGGATTCTACAATAGTTCTCTCCTGGTGTCTGATGACATTCCTAGCCTTTTGATTGATGGGAACTCTATCTTTGATAAGTTAATACATTTTGTTAGTCACAGAATGTTATTTTAGAAAAAGAAGCAGGCAAGGAATGGCTACTTATGGAGCTAAACATGACTCAAGATAAGTTGTAAATAACCTCTGGATCTGCAACATTCCAAACTCCACAATCATGGAAGTGCTAATCAGCTGGTGATCCTTGTAGGAAGTTCAGTTCAAGATGCAGTATTTTTCTGGGAAACTTTCCTTCATAACACTTAAAAAGTTTTTAAGAGTGGGTCTCAACCCAGAAGACACCTGTTCCCTCAGATATCTCTCAGAATTGTGCTAATGGGCCATGCCATATCATGTTTATTCCCAAAGGTTTCTACAGGCTCTTTATGGAAGTGCACAGTTGAAATTTGGCTCCATCTTATCTCAGTAGAGCATCAGGCCTCCTCATCACTAGTACATCATTCATCAAGATCATGAGTTCTTTCCAACCTCCACTGTTTCCAGTGGGTGGGTGTGTTGCTTCCAGCACTTTGATAGGTTAATTCTCAAGAATACCCACATGCATTCATTATTTGGGTGCCATACCAAACTCAGGTTGTGCCCATAAAAAGTCATTCCTAGGAAGTGGCTGTGGGAGGGCTGCTGCATAGCTAGCTGAGCAGAGTTCGGGGCGGCAGCGCGTGCCCCTAGCTCTCTGCCTCCACCCCCCCACTCCACCCCCCAGCC